TTTCTTACTTTATCTTAAAAGGGTCGTTCCTTAGGCTACACGGCTTTTTTTTTCTATTATATAAACTTTATAATGTATCATTATTTCCTGAAAGATAGATTCCTGAAAATCTGCCACAATTTCGCAAACGTCTTTCCTCTTTCTTTCTTTTGATTCATTTTCGTGAATACAAGTTGTCAATTTTAATGAAACACTAAATTAGCTAACTGTTATTAATTTCAACAAATATTTCCATATTCTTTTTTGTCGTTGTTTTTTGTAGTACTACTCTCGTTATCATTATTGTAAAACTATCTTATTACTTTATTTGTGTTCTGTATATGTTGTGTATATATTCTTCGTTTTCATCTTTCTCCTCAATGAATAAATCCAACGAACCAAAGCTAAGACAACAACAGTCGTTTGTGAAGAAGCCAGACGGAGGTGCTATTTTACTGCCCTTCTAGCCTGTTGGCACAGGGTCCACATCGAGCCCTGCGATGCGCCAGGACGTCAATGCTATTTTTTCTTGACCTATTTCCAGAACTCGTAAAAGATTGACTAAGCATAGACAAACGCCACACTCTTACTTCGCTACGCCACATGTCATCGTGCGCTGGACCACATTGCCGACAAAACATTATATACTCTTTTCACAAAATTGATCCCCGAAAGGAGTTGTAAAACAATTGTGCTTGTTCAGGCAGAGTGCCCCTGCTGTAATGAAATGAACTCATTAAAATGGCGTGTTCTATTTTTTTCGCAAACTAACGCTGCTGCTTTAGTGCGCGAGAAGATGTTATGATCAGTTTGGAAGGACGAGATCGTTACATTGTCGCACATATAAATAGCCTCTATTAGACGCGTAAGGGTAGACGCGAATAAAAGGCGTCCACGTTACAGACTGATGACTCGCCTGCGATATGGTCAAAAGTGAATTATGTCGAGATTAAACCTTCATTCCATAGAGAGACACATACATACCTTGCAAGCATTCGAGTTCAGCTTTGAATGAGTGAAGCTTTGTCCTGTATTATAGCGTTCATGGTACTCCCCGTTCTCATTATCCGTCTGCTTGATGCCCTTAGTTTTAGCCGGCTAGTATTTTTGGATGTCAAGCGGTTTTTTATATTGGTTGTAATTGTAGTTAGGTTGGTGTTTCTCCGTGCTGGCCTCTCCAATCCACCAATCAACAAAGAGAGGGTCTAATTTGTGCGCGCACCGCTTACCACGCATTAAGGTCTTTTTTTGATTCATCGTAATAACCAGCTAGAGCTCTTTTTTTACCTATTTATCTCGCCTTCTTAACTAGCTACGTATTTTCCATATTCTCTCCATATATTGTGTAGTAAATAATAATAATATAACAATACGCATATACCACCAGCATGTTCTTGCAATCACCGCCGTCATCAATATTGTGTATCTTCGTATATTTTCATATTATATACTGCATATAGTAATGATGTTCTAATCGTAATATTATTTGTCAATAATGTATTAATCAGGTGTTATCTTTCTTTCTGTCCGTCTGTTTATCTCCGATAGGAGCCTGCTATTGCAGTGGTGGCTCGTGTTATCACCTCTCTAGTTGTATTGTATAGTAGTAAAAGCCCGCAGTCTCCTGCACTGTGCGCGGGGGGTAACAATTGAAGTCGACAGTGAGATCTACGGATGACTTCATTACTAATCACCACCAACATGATGGATACCAGTTTATCGTGTTTTATCGATTGCCATGATTTGTGGATACGATTTTTGAAGCACACCTTTTCTTAGTGAAGGAGCCAAAACGGTGGCCTACAATATATTGGATGATCGAAAATGCAGTGACGATTTTTTTTAGCTCTATAAATTCAAAGTTGCACGTTAATGTCGTTTGAAAGCTGAGATATGACAGCAGTAAAGATACTACACAATGGTTTCCATACCTTTATTCAAATCTAAAATAGAGTGCCTTGAAGAGCGTTTTTTTACAAAAATTTGCTACATTTTACAATTTTATTACAACAAAACAACAGATAGTGCCGAGGCCCATAAATTGCGTTATTTTTTTACGTAGTAATCGGCTGATCCTGCAAAAATTATTGCGGAAGTTAAGTAAGATTGACGCGCGAGTAGCCGTGAACTTGCCAAAGAACCAAAGATCCACCACCAGTTGGTCTTAAACAATCTGAAGGAAGTTTATTAAAGGAAGACGTTATACGAATCGACGCAAAATAATTTATTCGGCTATTTCCAAACACGAAACTCAACAGAAACGCAACAAAGTTAAGACATTTTTAAAACAATTGCTAGAGTCGAAGAAAAGTAGATTACATAAGATAATCGTGTGCTAACAAATCATGGTTAAGCTAAGAAGCTCCACAGTCTTCGGACTGACATCAAAGATAATGATCCTATTAGTATCTGCGCAACTGGAAATGAATCGTGCATTACGAGCTAATCTCAGCTAGCAAAATGAGTACATCAGATTTCTACTACCACAACACCTACCAATACTATAATATGTGAACGAAAAAAAGTGGGTTGGAACTAGTGAGCAGAAAGGGCCTCGTCTTCTACCGTGGCAGTGCCAGATACATATGCCAGACACACATCTTTAGCTACCCAACAAAAATTGACAGAATTTAAATAAGAAAGATTAATGCGTTCGCCGTCCGGCCCAGATCTTGTACCATCAGACTGTTCCGATCTTCGCAGAACTCTTAATGAACATCATTAAAAATTCTGCGAAGATTGCAAAAAACGTTTGACACAATTTTTTGCCCAGAAACACAGAGAGGTAGAAGGCCACCGATCAATGGCGGGGTATGGATGGCACATACTTAGTGTATTAATAATATTTAACCAAATATTTACTTTTATTCTCTCTTAAAAACCGTCAATACTTTTTAGACAACTCAATATATCGATTTCAGCTTCTCGCTTCTATACACGTTATATTTTCTAATACATGATTCCTTACTGTTCGTCACTGCAGCTTCGTCTCGTGCACCCTCATTCCATAACCTTGTGGTGCCACCCGTCATTCGTAAAAGATAGGTTCGCGTAGAACGTCGATTCGTAGTTTTAGTGTCATTGTAATGTTTACAGTGTCTTGAATTTACTGAGGCTCCGTTGCCGTTGTTGATCTTTTGAGTCATAAGTGACTCGACTGTTTCGGAGCACTTTTTGAGGATGACTTCTTCAAGGGTGCATGTCACCCCTTGTCAAACGATCTTCTAGACCCTGCAGCTTTCGTATAGTTGACAAAACTTGCCACCACGCCACTAGGACCTTTTTGCTGTTTTTGTTACCACTGTGTAATAGCATTTCGTGTGTGCTGCTTCCATGAAACTAGCGACTACCGCGTTAATCTAGTTCTAGCTGTTTCAGCTCTAGAAACTGCGTTTGCATTAGCATTATGTCTTTTGTTCTGTATGTAAACGAGGCAAGCAGAGCAACAGAAAGCAATCCCGTATCGTGTTGGTCACCAGTGTTGCAGTTATGACTTTCCCTTTGCATGTCAAGTGACCTCTTCTACTTCGCTTTCGCTGTGGCAGAGGCACAACGAAGGTCTGCTGGGTGGTCCTTAGATAGATGCATCGCAGCCAGCTCAAGCGGAACGTAAGTATCGGCGGCCAACGCTATCCTCGGCGATCCTGCCAAAAGACTTCCGAGCTATCTCTGTTCGTTTGTTGCAAAAATTATTGTGGGAAATTCATATATATATTGATTATGAGGCGGTGTGAGGAAAGACAAAACAACCACACAAAGGTTACTAGCTGAAACGACATCGTCATCACAGACGGGGTCATACCTTCGTATCACCCGACGACAATAGTTAACATGGGTCAACATGAACGTCATCTTTCGTCGACCATAAGTACGTGCACATTATGTACATAACAGCGCCAAGATTAGACGTCGCATTGCCTTCTACTATAAGCAGAAAACAAAGGGTTGGGTGGCCAGGAGGAACTGCATGGATAGCGAGGGATTGGGGTAATGGATACAAGCAATTCGATCGGCACCTCCAACTTCGGTGACACCAATTCACAGCGGTCTATGTGAATGCCTTGAGCGGATTTTTTTCAAATGTTGTATTCTAGGAACGTAAAAAGGCTTGATAAAAAGCAAGCACTTATGCGCGAGCACCTGAACTGCGATAATTAGTGTACGAACATACAAGGTATATTTTCGATCGTTCAAATACACAAGGTGCTCAGAATTGAAAACAGACATTGAACCAAATGCACACAGAGATCGAACCGTGATAAACAATCCAAGCTAAAGTACGAAATTATGTAAAAATTAATTCAAATTGGAAACAAAATCTACAACTAGAATGAAATGAATAAAATGATTAACATAATAAAACGTAATAATTGCGTAATCAAACCCGCCGATGAAGGTTTGGTTGATTTTATTTGAACCCTTATTTTTCACAATTTTCAAGGGGTTATTGTAGTTTTGTTCCATTATTATTCAGTTGGTCTGGTAGCAGCCCTTATTGTTGCATTGACTACCACAGATCTACGTGTTTGGCGTCTTACTTTAATGACCCTTTGTTGAAGGTAGATGGCATTTGATAATTCATAGTAAAAATCATTTTTCCCAAAACTACACGCCAGGCAACTTAGGGGACGTCTGCCTCGTCACCGTTATGTCTTCGTTATTACCAATAACATTATTACTTTTGTTATTATTATTTGCTGTAAGAGTACCTCCCGCTTTACTCCATGTATGTTTACACCATCTCAGTACGATTTTGCACTCATCGGAACTTTCGCATTCTCACAGATTCACACCCACAGGCACACATACACACACACACACGTACGCAGGCACACCCAAACACACACTCACGTATGCAATCAAGTTCTAATCTTTACAGTTTATCTCTACCTTTGTCTTAATTTTCACTCTAGGTTAAGTTTTCTTGTTTTCCAAGGAGTTCGTTTAAAAAAAATAATTTTTTCTAACAATAGAGAAGGTATAATAATAATAATAATAGTAACTATTATGTTCTTTTCATCATTATTGTTATCAAAAGCATTTTATAAAATCACTAATATATCGAGAATTATATATATATATATATATATAATTTCTCCAAGCTCAAAACCCACTCGCGTACGGTAAACGGAAGGCCAACAAGGATACGAATATTGATAATAATAATATTACAATAAACAACTTGGCGGAACTCAACATGACGCAATGGTCCTGTCATTTCTGTATAGAATTTGCATGTCCTCTTTCAAACAAGTCGTCTCTTTACACTGTCAAGAGATAACGAAAACATTTGCAAGTAGGCAAAAAGGCAAACATGTTTTCATGGTATGCGTATAACTCGACAACGGAGTAGAATGCTCGTTCCATAGAGTAGAGGACGCACATCATTCAACCTATGCATTTTGTGTGTCCTTTGTTTTGCTAGACTCAACTAGGTTATCAACATGAAGAGAGGTTGATTTTTAGGCTACTATTTGACGCACGTAAGTGCACCTATTGCTTATAACAATCGCATGTCTGCTTTCTTTGTTAGAAGTTTGATGTGTGGTTGTTCAAATGAAAACAGATCGAAATCAAGAGAAGGTTTAGGCGACGAATAAACGGGATTCTCTCATGCAGAATACTGGTGATTGTGTTACTAGTTTTGGTATACAGGCACAACGTAGTTGTGCTGGTTGTTGCTATATCTAGTAACAAAGATTATACCGTTCTACAGTTCGAGTGTTGGAAGTCATAGGGGCGTAGACATCAAACACGAAGGTGTGTCAGTCCATAAAACACATCTTGTTACTTCCTCTCCGATACATGGACAGTGCGTTGGATCGTGTCGCAGGTATATATGTGTAAGTGTACGTGCGTGTGTGTATTCTTGAAAGTTTAGTTTATCAAGTTTTGTGTTGTGTTCTGTTCCATTCTATTTTCCGCGTTTTCGAGCTCTCGTGAATTACCTACCTATATTAATCCTTTCAGTTCTGTCTCGCTGTTTGGTTTGCTTTTTTTTCTCTATAATTTTCTTTCTCTATTTCCTGCAGAAGTACACAAGATACTCTCAGTCACTCCTATTTTTCGCTTCTCGGTTATTCTTTCGCTTTTCTAGTTTACCATCACAACTGAATTCTCTTTATGTATTATCGCCGACGTCTGGCTATCTGTCTTGAACAGGCTTGATCTGTTAGTCAATTGATGCCGGTCCCGTCCCTCACTATCTTTGTTATGTTCGTGCCGATTTTCACGCACCTAATTTGTCGATCGCAGTTTTCATGCGTTCTTTCTTGCAAAGCTCCACATTTTATCACTACGGTCGTATTTCGTGTCCGGACACGACACCAGTCGTTCAATTCTAGTCGAACCGTTAGTATGGCGATGTATTCGTATATTATGTATGGGTGTATATACCGTAGGAGTAAAAACATGGACGTTTTGGCGTTTTTCAGAATTGCAGATTGAGAGAGACGATCGGCGACAGCGTGTATCCTCTCAATTCGGAACTGTCCAGAATAGCCTACGCCCATTTGTTAATGCTGCGAGAGGCTGCTACCTCCTTATATGCAGCTAACGTTCGTTCCATGTGCTCTTCGCAGTTTCCGTTAGATGCGCGCCGGTTTTTGTTTGTTTGTTTGTCTGTCTGTCGTCTGCTGCTGCTGTTGCTGTTGTTGTTTTGAGAGGGCAACTGAGACCTTTGGCATGTCTTCCACCCTTTCGTCTATTGTGCCTACTCTATATGTATTCATTATACCACAATCAGATATCGTTTTTTGTTCCCCTATCAGCGTCATTTGCCTTCAAGAACAGCGCTGTCTACTGGTCCTAGTTGCCCATGTAGTTTGGCTGGCCGCCTTGACTGTTCAAGTTGGTCGTCTCTGAGGGAGGGGGCATAGCAAACGGGTTATTTGCCGTCTGAGCGGGCGCTGGCATTGCGAACGTGCCCCCACCGCCACCTTGATCGGCACCCATGCCCGGCTGAGCGGTGACTGGATCTTCACCGAGGTCTTCCTGTAATGTGTAGCGGAAAACCAAAGAAAAGACAAAATAAAATTCGCGGAATTAATATACAAAAAGAACGAGCACAAATCTACGATAAACATATATATATATATATATATATATATATATGACAACCTAATTCATAAGCGATGCGTCAATACTATGTGCCGGGTGCTTTTTCTAAATTAGGACAGACTTCACGTCACTGACTGCATTTAAATGGAACAGATATTTGCGTAAAATATTTTATATGCAACGATAGGGATGTCGCTCAAGGACTTCTGTATTCAACGTGCGGCTTCGACTCGAGATTTAAATCGCATACTTATTATATTTTCAACATTTTTTTCTGAATTTTTAAATATCCTTTCCACAATAATCATAACACAACATTAGTACGTCTAAATTTAAAGTATCGCTGAGTGATGCTATACGTCGTATATTTCAGTCTAGGCTGTCAGGTTACTGCTTCTAACCAAGATTGAAACATCCCTGGAGTGGTGATGAACCAAACAGGTTTTTGTTTTATATCGGATACTGCTATTAACATTGCTCAGACGACTGACTTTTTCCAGCACGAAACAAAGTGCGTATAGAGACCAACGGTCCTTTCTCCTGCTAACATTTGCATCAGGAATCGTTTTTTTTCATTAAAGAACAATCGAAGACTAGATTCATGAGATGAGACGTGATCCAAAAACCTCGTTGAGATATGGGATATGTACGTTTCCAAAGAACAGCTAATCGATATACCCATATCATTAGACATGCATTTTTGCGTCTGCTTTAGAAATAAGATTCAGGCTTCTTAGAGTCCCTTTTTTTGCGTAGATCTTCAGCATCGTCTCGCGGAAGTTTTTCTGGGATTTTTCGCAAGCCGTATAGAAACCGGTAACAACGCAGGCTGTCGATTTGAAATAATCAAGAAAGTTTATGAGCTCTATGTGTAGTTTGTCGGTGTGTAGATTTTAGGCAATAATTGACCTACGCCCATATCCTGTAGCCAAACCTTTTTCTATAATGTATTCTAGACTGAATTGACTTTGTTCCAATACCAATGATAGCAAATTAAGGCCTGCCCATTACGGTAAACAGCTCGCTAAAGCGTGTCCCAAATTAAACGAAGCACCACAGTGTATACATAGTATAGTGTATTTTTCAAAACTCTACTGTTTTTAGCCAATGTTGTATTTGAAACATTAATCAAAATATATAAACGGATTTTTATTTACTAAATTGTGCATTCAGCTGTCTGTTTATTAAGAATATAATAGGTATATCACACGTATAATAGGCAACAGTAAAAAATTCCTAATTTTAAGACATTTTTGCTTGGACGCAATTTTTGCAACTATTCTAGGTCACATACAGGTAACCTAAAGTGAAAAAAAGTGAAAGGTAACTACTTTGCTACAAACGGTTTGCATGCATCACATATAACACATATATATATATGACTTAATAAAATGTAGAAGCATGCACCAAGCATGCATAAAACAGAGAAACATTGTGACGCTAATTACGAAGTGAGGCGATAGGACAAGCAGAGAAAGGCTAGCGGCGTGCATGCGGTATCCAGGTTGTGCCTAAACTACACCCGCGGATCCTCTTGCCTGGAACTTGCGAACTTTGGGGAGCACCGGCTGCCTGTCCTCGGAATCACTTTCGTGCTGGTCAGGCAACCCACCAAAGAGTGGAGTCCATTCCTTTGGCTCATTCGTATAAACCTATGAACGCCGGCCGGATCCAATTGTCACAATCAAATGTGTTGGTGAATAGCACGCATGCCATATATCCCGCAACCCACAGCATGACGGAACACAGAAAACCGTTCATGCGCGTAATCAGTTGTAAGGTGAGTTAGTTGTGCAGTCAGCAAGTAAATACGAAAAATACTTTTAAGCTATTACCTTTAGTTGGCTATCAGCAGCTTTAATTATTTTCCATGGTATCATGCACTGCGCACATGAAAAGTGATTGTAAACGATAGGTGGGAAAAGTCATATTAAAATTTTAAGCATTAGGTTACAACATCAAATGATTTTCGATTATTGCTTACCTTCTTTGCCGTCTGCTCATCAAGTATTTGTGATAAAGACAGTACTGATGTGAATATAAAAACAAACAAAAAAGATCATCATTCGACAACACATCTAATAATGCGTAATTATCTTCGAATGGTAGGAAGCTCGCTGATTTTACCTTTGCCCCTTCCCCGCTGTCACGTCCATCAACCTAGAAGCACCAAATGCAAACAGGGCTGTCATGCAACTACCATATACGATGAGAGCCACAATATTCAACTCCCAGTACTGTCACCACGTTTCACCGCACACTCTAACAGGCTTTCGTTAACAATAAATGCAACACAATGATATGTGGATTGACCCCATTTGAGACGCTTGCGATAGGTCTGTAACACAGCCCTTCATAATTTTAGAAAGAAATTAACCATTCCTAGTTAGCGTTATTCTACCGCTAAGGGCAGTCTGTGGTGCGTGCAGTAATCAAATCTCTACGTTCTTCCCTACGTGTGGCGTTAGGTGGAATTTTATTCAATTTTATCTCACTGAGGCTTTGAATCGGCATTATTTACACAGCGGGACACTGGGCGGGGGTTACCAGGGGATTACGTGTTAGGCGTATTATGCGTCACAAATGAACGTTGAAACAATTGCAAAGTAGCTACTGACTAATAAGGCTGAGATGCAGGAAAAACGGCGAGGGTATGTGTGCGCGTATGCGTCCCTCAAAAATTTTTGAATGGAATTAATCACATCTATTATTATCAATTATTAAAAACATCTATTATACGGTAATTTACTGATTCCTGTGTTTCTTCTGATTATCATTGTTACTAGTTCCATTTTATCGTTATTAGTAATTAATAATCATCATACATCTATCTATATAAATCTGAGGAAGACATTTACGAACTTCGATATGAACAATGGATGGCTTAAATATATTAAAAAAATTCTTCTAGGCTGCTTTGGAAAGTTACTTTTATTATTATTATTATTATAATTAATGCTAAATTTCCAAGTAGTTTTTTAAAGAGAGTGGGTCGCAGCATGACGCTGTTTCTCTACAAAACTTACGTTAAGGTTGGAATAGTCTGCATCGGGGGGTGGTTTTGGTTTGCATCTGCCACAGCAAAAGTTAAAGCAGCAGCAGAAACAGCAGCAGCCGCAATAACAACCGGTGATAATACCGCAGAATATAAAGATCGCCTTTGCCCAGCCTGACGTAAGCGCCTGAAATAAATCGAATGACGTATCAATCGGCAGAAAACGTCCATTTATTTACTTTCTATATTTAGTCAGCCATTGAGCTAGCATATATAGTACCTGTTTCAGCTAAATACACCTCTTAAGCTATGTACTCTAAGTGCATAATTAATTTTATCCTTCCAAAATTGAATACCGCTTATAACTAATGTAAGGTGATCAAGAGCTGCGCAGACTGAACAAAGATGTTCGCTACTTACAAAGTATGTGTTTACGTGCTCCTCTCCAAGTTGTTCGGCGATATACAGTCCAACAGAACCATAGTTATCATAAATATTTCTCTTGGATAGGTCGCTGAGGATAGCGTTAGCTCGATTGATGTCCTTAAATTTGTCTGCGGCCTCCGGGTCTCCAGGGTTCTTATCTGGATGGAACCGTAGGGCCAGCTAAATTAGCGTAATATAAGAGGAAAACAGATTAGTTTAATCAACTTACAAGGGCTAAGGGAAAACGCGGAAGTGTCAATTGGAACTTACCGTACTTTTTTTGCTAGTAAAGAAACGTTATTCAATGTTGTAGATGTACAAGGTGAAATTAACTAAAGCACTTTTTTAGAACAACTTTTTATTACATGTGAAAACAACGATCCGATAAATTGTATAGTCCAGTGGAAGATTAATAATTGCCATTATAGTGGCTCAAAAGGCTACCCACAATCTCAAGCACAAACGGTCAATATATATATGCTCATTCGTATTAAAGAATGCATAAATTACCGTAGAAGCATAGCAAGAAGCACTCCGATCAACCTACTTATCTAAGCTAGGAGATATTTCGCCCATTGTAATAACTCAGCGATGATTATTTTACAAATGTTCGCCATTAGAGCCGGATGGTCGAATCGGCTTTTTTTGAATAATTTTATCCTCATGTACTCAGTAGCTCGAGCAAAAAAGCTTAAAAAATTGGAAAAAATATAATCAAGTGATTGGTTGAAGTTTGGTCGCCCTGCAAAAGCTTGTTATGTCATTTTAATAACCTCTAATAAATTAACTAGTTTTTTTTTTGTTAGGCAAAGTCTGTTTTTATCTTTTATATATATACGTCAATATACTATATTTGACATCTATTTTATTTCACATTTTTCTTCCAATATCGAAAGTGCATGGAAGCACCCTAAGATATTAGTTTTCCGTACGGTCACGGCTGCATAGCCAACCTATTCAAGCTTATAACTTTTTAATAGTGTTTCAAAGCAACTCTCGACGAACTCGACGAAAAAATATGGTGTCGTGAAATCTTTAGATAAAAAAACACCAATTTTGATATTATTGTATATGTATTTTACAGTCTAAATTTTTAATAAAATTCGAGATAAATGTTAAATGTTATTGTTTCAGCGAAACGATGACTATGTTCATTTAAAGCAAGGACTGAAGTTTTTAGTCGAAAATAATATTTGGTCATCAGTAGATGAAAGATCATTAAAAAAGAAACAATAAACAAAGGCGAATATTACTTATACAGTATAACCTAGTAAAGGTGTTTAGGTAAATTTAATAATTCCGATGTTAACTGTATTTCCCTGGTAATTTTTTCTCTACGGCATTTTCAACTCACTTATACTAAATAATGAGGACAATTAAAGATTAAAACTTACTCTCCGATAAGTTCGTTTAATGTCCTCAGGAGTGGCAGTTTTCGGTAGTCCTAGGATCTCGTAAAGGGAATCTCCCGTGGCACTGAAAGGTACGAAAAGCTTTTTTATTTACACAATACTTGTAATAACCAATTCTCGCTTTATGGCGGTAATAAGGAGCTAACCTGACCATGGAGCCCAATGTAGGCTCACTTGTTGAACGCTTCTGGGCTTGTCCAGCAACTGAGACCCACTGTCGTTTATAATATGAAGCACGGTTATTGATGCGCTAATTCTTCTACACACCATAGAAGATTATTTAGTATTAATTCTAAAGCGAATATTTAACTGTGTTTCTTTCTTTGCAATAACCGCTGTCACCGACCTAACGAGGGTCGAGACTCCCATCAATAAGAGCCCGTTCTCATTTGAAAAACAGGTTGTGATATAAATTGATCTAATGCAAGCAATCAAATAGCTACCAATCATATTGCACTAAATATCACACTAAATGAGAGTGATGAATTATTGAGCCCGAAAGGAAAAGCAGATGTTCGTTCAGAGGTCACTCCCAGCCCATCAAGGCAATGCGTTACTTTCGAAAAGGACTTTTGAATTCGTCATCATTGTCTGTCCATAATTTAATCTATGTCGACTATAGCAGCCGGATTACTATTCGACGAAATGTCTGCTCTAATAAATGAAAAATAACTCCCGAGCTACTGATATGCTTGGGTGCTTCATAAGATATATGAGACACCTTTCAACTACAACGATCTGGCCAATCACAATCCAGAATCAATCACAACAGAAGCCTATATAGAGCTTATATATAGAGCAATACGCACTGTGAACTTAATGCAGTCACTTTCGCAGGCGTATAATATATAAACGAATTTACGTGTAGCATGAAGTGCGATTTTTTTGAAGAACAAGGAGCAAAGTGCGCATGTATTGGTGACTTTTTGCAATTGTGAGGCGCTCTCAAGTGTTGGAGTAGTTTCTATCTGCACTTTGCGTTTCCAACCCATATATTTCGATCAAATTGTCCGCCGGATCTTGCTGGAGTATTGCTGGAAAGATAAGACTCTCAATTTCCAGTAACGGTCTTTTTTTCACTAAATGCGCAAACTGACTTTTGTTCAGTTCGGCTACTTGGAACTCTTGTTTATGCGCTAAAGAAGAAACTAGTTATATTAATTAAATTTTAATAAATTAAGCATTTTTATCTGGAGGTCATAGTTGCCGTATGAGCGTTATAGGTGCACAGATTTTCATCGATATCGATTACCGCGACATTTAAACTTCCGACTGCATCTTTTAAAATAACAATTAATTTTTCACTGTATCGCGAAATTAGTTGCAATTTTTATCTTACGATCAACGTATTTTGCACATATAACAAACTTCGTCGAAAACTTCTTAATCTTGCTTAGCCAATCTTACATTGACTAATTATGGCTACATTTGCAAAATTGTATACAATCAACTTATCACAAAGGCTTCAGAAAGCCCAAAAAGTTTTTAACATTACATTCTTTGGGCCCTTCATAGTATGAAAAACCTAAACAAGTACGGCTGACACTTTTATACGGCAGTGTTGCAATGAAAATAAGTACTTGCGGAAACTTGTAAGTTACCGATGTTAGCGTCGCATCATGGTGCCTTTCTGTTGACTCTGAATATAGCAACTGGGAAAATATTCTAATTATTCCTATTTCTTGGTATTGTTGCAGATGCAACAAGTGATAGAATAGACGTTAATATATCGCAGTTGTAACAGTTTCCAGATAGGTAAACGTATTTTCGCAAAAAAATAATCATGCTAACAAATTCCTTCTCTTCGATTTACTGACCAGAGAGTTCTGCGAGACATCGTATAGACTGTTGTCGCTGAAAATTCTAGCAATTATATGGTCAAAATTTTAATCAAGACGGTGATATCCTAGGTAAAGGGGCGTAAATAAGTGTTTCTTGACTTTGTTCATTTTTTTGCCGCGAAGCTTTTACTTGTAAACTACATACTCTTCAAAGACAGTCTAAAGTCTCAGCGATCTCTCTCTCTCTCTGTGGTCTCTGTGGTATTGCTACGGTAGCCTAACAAGTTCGACGGTAAAAACAAGTCGCACACCTTTAATACATGCGCCTAATTAAAAAAAAAAGTGATCTGTTTGAAAAACCGACTCTCAGTTCCACCGATACCTTAGCGACACCGCAGTGGTCGTTAAATAAAGAAATAAACCAGACAGGCGAAATTTAATTTTGACAATCTGCACGGGCACATACTACATGCAAAAAAATTTCGAAACAGCATTAGCTTGTTATTTTCATTGTTCCAAGAAAAAATACTTGCGCTTCTAATAAAAAAAAACTAGTATATTTAGTTGTCGGTTTCGTACGGACGTGACTACGCCGAATCGAGAAGTATCAATCATAGCGTTACACATTACTTCTTTTTAACACAATAACCTAATAACTAATACTCCAGCTTATCCTCCCGGCTAAACTAAAGAAAATACACTGAGGCCTTCGACCTTGCTTTGCTCAAACGCGAGCAACATCATATTGCCCGGACCGAGTTTGCTTTAACCTATAATTATCAATGACCTGAATTATAATTAGTATTCATGTTTCACGTTCGTTATATAATCCGTGACGCAATTATGGAGGCCATTTAAGAGAAAACATTCGGTGAATACCAATGGCTGAAAAAGTGTTGAGCCGTATTTAATAAACAAGCTGTAATTATGTGCCTTGATGATAATTCTCTAAACATGGTCTTCAGCGCTTTAAATTTGTTAGATAGCACTAAAACAATATGTAACGTAAATGGGTTCAGTACTACTCTGCAGACAGAGTAAGGATTTCATGGGTACATACTAAACATGAAGCTACTTTTTGAGGTGACCTCGGTTCGAAACCCGTAGACATGTTTCGTTTCGTGCTAGCAACCGCCCATCTGACGTAATGCTCAATGACGGTAAAACCGGCTACAAAACATGAAACACATCTGTTTTGAAAAGGCGACGAAACACCCTCAAATCCTTCCAAAGAGTGGTCAGTTCTAAGGATGGACATTAGGATGGACATTTTGACCACGCACGTATAGTGTACGTAACCTATTATTGAAACTTGAAAGTTTTACATCTGGTACATTCATTAAGCATTGTTTCAGACGGCTGGCTCCCAGCATAAAACGAAGTGGGTATACGCCCAGATTCGAACCTAGTAGAAATTTAGCTGACACACACGTTACCAGTACACTATTACCTGCATTTTGCTTTTGTGTCTCCAAGGTTTAGGTCGATCTAAGTTATTTCCTATGCGTACTTCGTCAATATAGCTTCACTCCAATAAAAACAATTAAAAGTTATAAGCTTGTGATAAATTCTACTAGTGTAGAATACCTTTTGACAAGCTATATTTAAATATTTGTCGATACCATTGAATGACATGAATAACATGTGGGGCCACATCAGAGTATGCTTCAAGTTCGCCTGGATCAATACACCTTCTATTGTAATAATATAATTTAACTCAAATAATAACTACAAAGCTAGTCAAGGCATTCCATTAACTACTAATCACGATTAGATAATGCGTACGCGAACCGTCCCTAGCTTTTATCGGAGTGTAAAGAACACACTGAACCCGTTTCTGTGAGTATGTGAAACGAACATTATCTGTTTAAAGCAAACAGTACTAGACTGCAACGGTTCCTTCTTGCTCCAAAGCAGAACTAGGCGACTTGCACCGAAGAACTGTTTACTTACACCATGATCGATCATCCACGAATTGGAAAAGATAATAATTATGGAGTTGATGCAAGGGGTACTTCAAAAAATACTTTTATAGAGTGCACGGCCTAAAGTTGTTTTCAAAAAAGACCAGTAAACCTTTAACTTCCATTCAGGCTGTGATTGACCTTCAAGTTATTGCCTGCACACGCGTAACATTCAATTGTAGAGAAGCTCACATTAAAAAATACCGATTGGATCCTCTCACTTTATGCAAACTCCACGAACTGCCAAGAACAGATTTCCCAATAGCGACCTTATTGCCTTTGCTTTGCTGGTTAAAAAAATTCACTCATATTTAAAGAGTAAACAGACAGTAGCAATAATCGGCTTGCTCCATTAGCGGCATTTCTTAGCAAAATGCTTATTTTTCGATAGTATTGGTGACAAATAAGAAATTGCCAAGTTACGTGGCCACCTATATTGATTCGCGCTAATCAAATACGTTGTGAATTCACTCAGACTAATAAAAGGCTCCTTTTCACTTTCGAACACAAACTGACAGAATCGTCCTCGTGCGACTTTAATATAATCAGAATGCGATGACAGCATTCATTGTGCTCCCTCGACTCAGAAAGGTCCACTTCACAAAGAAAAGTATGGCTGAACAATTGTGCCATGTTCCAATACAAGCTAAGGGTGAATTTGCTAAATTCCAACAAGCACTACAGATAATTTCGAATATTGGATTTCAAGGACAAATCGCTGAACCGGCACACTAATTTAGAGAACAGTGTAGCATTATGATTTCTACCACTCCATACTTTAATAATTAGAGCTAAGGTGATGGTAATGTGTTTTGTACCACAGTGAACTTCGCTGAAAATCGTAACGTGTTTAAATTCCGACTTGTCGCTCTCAGACTCGTGATCTTAGCCGTATCGAGCTGAATGCAGAACGGGAATTACTTTGGTTTTAAAGAAACAGTAACATTATATCAATGACTATAGCATCAAGTCTGTACAATTGCAGCTAAACGTGTATATCAATATGTACAATTTTGTGTATATATATGTAATACAAGAGCAACAACACTGTTCGAAAACATATTCGAACAATAACAAGATTAACCGCAGTCTATACAACAAACGCAATAATCGAAGATTTTGATTAGCGTGCATATTCGAAATGACTAATTTCCGTTATTTGCGTCCTTTTGGCAATTTCCCAGGTAATAAACTTAAATAGAAATGGTCACAGCGTCGAATGGCATTATCACGGGGCTTTTTTTTCGGAACCTAACCAGGGTTTACCTTGATGCACCCGCACACGAACCAAACGTGTGGCTTTTATCTTTCTGGAAAACTGTGGTCTGAAGCCGACTTCATTCTGGGATCAAATGTGTAGAATATGTGCCCACCAAAACACTCACCGCAGAAAAAAAACTTGCCCACGTGGCATAACAAGCAAAAATGTTCATCATAAAAGTATCCACTTCTGTAACGTGCTCAAGTATTTATACGTGTTAATAAGCTATTTTTGAGACTAAGCATACCATAGTCTGAAGATTCTTAAGTGCACAGATATGACAACAAATTGTTTAAACAATTTGATCTAAATAGGATAATTTATCCGGATCAGCCACGTACTCATTGAGGTAATTCACGACCAGCTGCTTTGGTTACCAGCTTTAACGATCCAAACATCACTAAAGATTATGCACCAATTTGATCAACGATGTATGGTCACAGACTGGTCGCTGTATCGGGTATTTCTGCGAATGGACGACGCAAGATCTGATTTGCACTATGTGGCGCATAGCTGACGTGTACCGCCAAGTGACCATCTTTTGTTTATGTAAAAACTTTTTAACTCAATATAATGTCACATCAACGTTTTTACCGTCATACGCTGATCGTATAAATCAAGACATCGATGTTTCATAAAGAGTTCCATAAGTTCGTTGTTTGAGTGAACAGGTGATGACCTGATTAGATGGCGCATGTTTATTTGTTTATTAATTTATTACCACAACCAACGCTAAATCTGTTTCGAACAAAATCTTATCTAAAGCTAACATAAAGGATTCGTTTTATTATTACCGTTCCTGATCCATTTTTGTAATGACTAGCATTCGTGCGAAGTACGGTTGCGTACTTTCAGTTAACGAACATTTGAGGCATCAAGCAGTTTGAACGTCAATCACTTTATTCGAGCACGAGAGTGAAATTTTTATTGCCTTTAAACAACTCTGTCCAAATAGAAGCGCTGGGCGTTTAAAGGTATAGATGACCAACGCTTTGAAAAATTATAACTCGCTCATTCAGGTTATAGCGTCCAATCAGACATCCTGTCTGCCTTTTTACCTGTTCTATTGGTAATTTACCTTAGACGAGAGTAGGACAATGGACCGTCAGCTCCATTTACTGGGTATGGCCTGTTTTCACAAGGCAAACGATAACTGATTTAAGAAGATCAACAACAGAAGTCCTTCTATTTTGTAGACAACTTGATAAACCCACTTGGATGGACAGGAGTTAGCGCTAATCAGCGAAATTCAAGGTCCTGTCTAAAGTTATTAGTTGGAGAGATGTTAACAAAAAACATGTTTTGCGAATCCTTACTTTACCGCAATAAACTATTACCCATTCATTTTCATTCCTATTATAGTAGTAATAAAGCCTCATCACAAGGTTTCACAATAAATACACTTAATTCCATATAAGTGCAAAAAAGTTAAAACCGACATGTTAGTTTATTGCAAAAATCATACAACACAGAGTAGTTCTGTTCAAATTTTGTTGAAAGAGCAATAAACAGAATTAACTCTAATAGCGAAATATAATTTTCATATACGTTCATCTTAGTTATATATTATATATAACTTATTACATTATAATAAAAAAATAAGCAAGTACTGAATTAAAAAATAAGCCTATATATAATATCCAACGAGTTATCCTCACGCAACGACTGGATACTGGAACATGCTTTCTCAGTTACCATTGACTTTACCAGCTGCTGAATTTCATACACCATGGAAACAACTGCCCGATATTATAACATCGATTTTTTATAAGTTGCGTGTGGTCTTGCTGACATATTTGAAGGTTACTATATTACCAAGTTGAACGAATGCCGTCAAAGCAGCAGAATAAAGATAATCAGTTTCTGCATTTTTGCGATAAAATGGTCCTATAATAGTCCTGTCATTTTGTCTTTACCATCAATGAAAAGCGCATCTTTCTTCTAAAACGAATATGCTCTGAACCGTCTATTACGAAAAAACCGCACCAAGTGACCAGTGCAGAAGACAAACAAAGATAACGCCGCTTCACTGGTTACCCATCAGCGATACAGTTCAACGACATGTTCGGTCATGAAAATGCCCCTATGTCGAGCCTACCATGAATAAGGTGGTACTGCCGAAATTTCAAATCGAATACAGCAAGTCGAAGCTACAAATAAATATCAGGACAATCAGGTTTCCTATAATCTTAAAAAAGGCCTCAGTACACATTGAAGAGGCGACACAGAAACGATTGTTTAGCACAGCGGTATCATCTAACCTTTAGCGAGATGATCCTTTAAAAATTGCATTAAAAAGTTTCATATCAGCAGGTGCACTCCGTTGTTTCGCTTACATGCTGTGACGACTTAGGTGTTTTTAGCCTGGTGACGATGCCTATGGTACAAAGGCACCATGACCACTAGCCAGTTTTCACTGCTTGTCGCAATACAAAAAGTGCATGACACCCACATGTGCATAGCTATGTAATTTATCAAATCTACTATGACTGTTGTCTATACTCTTTTGTTACCCTAAAACATCCTCAGGTTTAACGGCTGTTATTGGCCACATCTTTGTTTAGATTACGCAGAGAATCCCTTTCCAATTCAAAGCTAGGCAACCGGCTTAAGCTGGCTTACCGGACTGTGCATACGATTCCCGCATGGCTAACGTACACCGAAATTTTCTTTTTTTTTCACCAGATATGTAATCTCACATTTATATACTGCTGACCCCATCCCTTGTTTGTTTTTTATTATCCCGACATTTCCCTGCATGGCTCACACTTCGAGCAATATTCCGAACGCCAGCTCTCAGCAGAAAGCCGACATGGTCTCGATTAACTGTGCCCGGCCTTCGTTGACATTATATCGAACTGCCACCGTCTAGAGTTAATTAGTATCAGTGCAATCATGATGCGGCTGGTCTCGTAAGTCGAACCTAATCGAATAGCAGCTACATGCTTAAATTGCCTATGAGAACAGGGCGAAGCGTTACTTACGAAAGCTTTCTCCCGCCGATGTCCATTCCGGCGGCAGTGATGGCGGTGTCGGTGTTCTGTTGTCTCGTGAGCTCCTAACCACACAGAGAGTTTCGTGTTCTCGACCTACTGCTATCGGTACCACTTACTACAGCTATTACAGGCCAGATCTCCTTCGGCCAATTTGTGACGTCCCCGTATGCCGTTACGCAGGTCTGACGGATGCACTCGATCTTCTTGCGGCACAGGTCTTTCTTAAACGACACTTGCCTTCCTGCACGTACAATCTGCTTACTGCTGCTCCAGGCTAGACTGGTCTCGGCCGGTCACGCATTCAACAAACACCTACAGGAGGCAAAAATGCACCGACACATAGACACACAGATACTTCACACTGACTTACTGACCGACTGACTCAAGTAGTTTACAAAAGAAAAGTGCTGGTTTGATTTGCCGTCTTGACGGCCAGTGTCCGTTGACCCTTCTGCCTGCTGCTGCGACAGCACTCCCTAGTACTCCTTGACGTTCTTTAGCAATACGAAGCAGCCGCCGTAGTTGTAGTGGTCGCAGCAGCAGCAGCCTAACATACTCTCCTCGCACCAGCGGAGCCGTACCATTGACGACTGCAATGGCGCACAATGATGAGCCCGCTTGATTCTGCTTGTCAGGCCCATCCGGGTATAAAGGCGGGCGCCTGCCAAGGCGCTGATGTTTGCTTGCTCCAGTCTGCTCCGTAACGCTGCGAGTTTACGATACCTAGGAGCCGTAACTCGCGAAGTGAGTGCTCATCTAGTACAGTGTATGTAGGTAGAAACGGTGGAAAACAACTATTCTGGTTTACGTAGGCTAAATACATTTTGGTTTTCTGGTGATGAAAAGAAGTTGGACTTTGATTATTGTGGTTGTATGCGTTTTTTCTAATTTTCCAAGTTGTAGGTCTAAATTTAAGATAAACTGCAATTTCTGTGGACATGTTTGTTGCGCCTTTTAACAGCGCACCTCTTAGGAAGTAATGTTGACTGCTTTACACATAGATACTGAAGGATATACGTCTGATAATACTCGAACTGATTAATTTTCACTTGATTATGTGTCCTATGGATGGAATATGCGTGAGAAGCATGCAAAGCCCAAAACAGTTAAGGTTAGATTTGCGAAAAACTAGAAATCTGATGAGCTTCTCATAAGCTATATTGCGACAGCAAGTAGAAATCAGATAGTGAAATTGTTCAATACTAGCTGAAGTTGGTAAAGCTGCTACGCAGTTCGAGACTTGGAGAAACTTGGTAGATCAACGTCGTGATAATATTGTGCGCTCGTAATTTGAATTACGCGCCAAATGACAGCCGGATCCAGCCGCCATTTTGCAACAGGATCATTGAAATGATTTCTTTTTGATGTTGAGTCTGAGCAAGGTACGATAGCATGCAGCAAAGTGTGTGATAATTTTTACCAAAAATTGGTGCTACTGTGAATTCTGTGGTCAAATTTTACTAAGATTCACTCCTTCTGGCAAGCCGGTTGTTGATGAGTCATAAAAAAACAGTAGTTGCTACATATCGGAAAACGAGTTTCATTTTTTAGAAGACCACGTTCTGTTTAGTGTGCGTGTATATGTATGAGCTTCTTACCTGCACTCGATCGTGCGCCAAGAAAAATCTACCTGGATAACCGGATAAAGTGTTGGAGTAGCTAATATCCTGCTCTAACGAAAATCTTATTCTGCGTGAAATAGTGAAGTTCGGATTACTTCTGGAATAATTGCGGCCTGTTATTTTCATTAGTAGCAGCTGGAATTTGCAGTCATAATGAATTTATAACTTTGCTCCTAAACACACGAACTTTTGTCCTCAAAGTTTGCTATACATATATATGTATATATAATCCTATGGTGTTTGCTATTGGTTTACAGATGCCATCCATCACGGTAAAGGACGTTGATCAGCACGAGTTCGTGGTCGGTATGGCCGCGTTCCTCAAAAAGTCTGGCAAAGTAAATGTTCCAGAGTGGACGGATATTGCCAAAACTGGAATCTACAAAGAGTTGTGCCCTAATGACCCCGACTGGTTTTACATACGCTGTGCTGCACTTTTGCGCCAGCTTTACACGCGTGGCCAGATCGGTAAGTCCTGCAAAAATAAAGACATTCCAACGGAAGAAGACTTATAGAGACGCCCATTGAGGAATGGAATCAAATATGAAACATTTCGAACACGCTAAACTGTCTGATCATGATTGTATCTGGAAACAGTTCGTGCACAAAATCGCAATGGGCTATACAAGTGAAAGCTCCGAGTTGTAAAATGGATGAAGTCCAATCATCGGTCGTACGCTCATGCAGATGTTGTAACTGATAGATGTGAGACAACTGAATTGTAAAATGCGATTCTAGCGGATGACGATTTCATGTTCAGCGTTTAATCAAGCTTCAGACTGTCTTCAAGTGAACCTTTGATGAAATTGTATTTTCTTATCATGATATTCAAACTGCATTATGATATATTAAAGACTGATTCTGTATGTCATTTGCTGGCAAGCAAAAAAAATCCAACACAGGTAAATATAGAATAATAAAGAAAAGCCAATAGAACTGTAGAAATCATCGTGAAAGTTCTCACAGACCCTCACGTTTAGTTACCCGTGCATTACTCCTACACCTATTGTTGTGCTGTTATCTTACGCAAATACGGTGTGGCTAAATTTTATTACTGTGTATTTGTTATTGCTACGCGACTGTGTTGACATTTTTCACTGTTTCGTTCGCTCCTGTAACTTTATGCATATTGTGATTTCTTCGGCAAAAAACTTGTTGCGATTGTATTTGAAGTTCTTATTAACGTGACCGCTGGCAGACTTGCACCCCATAAATTACTCTCATTTTAACGCGTGCTTTGCTCTTTCTGTTCGTTGATTGGATAATAGGTATTGGTCGCCTGACCCAGGTATATGGTGGACGTTATCGTCGTGGAGTGCGTCCATCACACTTTTGCCACGCCTCGACCTCCGTCATTCGGAAGGCTCTGCGCGCCCTCGAACAAATGAAGCTCGTCGAGAAAGATACTGGCGATAAGGGTGGACGTCGCCTGTCCAAGCAAGGCCGCAGGGACTGTGATCGTATTGCTGCCCAGGTCGAAAAAAAATCGACTATGCTCGTTGGAAAGTAGTTCCCCCGTTGTCCATCTCCGGGTGAAATAAACTGCAAAAAAATAAACAAGTGTTTTCAGTTCAGGAGTGTAAAACAAGTCGCTAGGTTTTCATAATGACCAATAACTAATTATTGTGGATTAACAGGAAACGAGAGAATCAGTTGTTGGCCATCCTAACAGGCAGACTTGTAAAAAAAAAACGCCCAAAAGTTAACGTTTTCGGGGTACAGCTTCGCCTGTCTAGATGTTACTAATAAATCGTACTTCGGGTATATGAAAGTTTGTGATTCTAGTGTGTGTTAATCAGCTCTTATGGATTTAATTACCCTAAAATTGTTGCGACTTGTACGTTTATAATGAGTATAAAAATTTCCATTGTAAATTTTCATAAATTTACAAACATACAAGTCAGAGATCGTACCAATGTGCACCTCTCCAGCAAGACTGGAACGAGTTTGAACAGCATTTAAATTTTTCTATCCATTGTAGGATTGTTAGAGATCTTGCACACTTATCGAGTCTTCAACGCCCGGTAGCTGTAATCTGAGTTTATTTTTTACTCTACCAGATTTATATTTCTTAAATAAATTTACATATCCGCTTTTTTAAACTAGTAGAACCTTACAGGACTGTAGAACTGAATAGTAAATATTGAGCTCGAGCTTCTGGTTCTTATCGATAAGAATTAGATCAGTTTTTTGCTATTGCGTTAGACGTCAAGCAGATCTCCATTATACGATAGTACTGTGCTGCCCGTGGGGTATTTTCAAAACAACATTACTACCGCGTTGCTGCTAAGCAGCATAGTTAAGTGTAGACACGATTAGAAATACTGTACGAGCGCTTTAATCAGCACTTCATGCCTCACGGTTTGACAAGCAAACGTGTTAGCTAGCCTAAAGGTTAAGGTTAATCAGACACTCGGATATAAATACGTTTGTATGCCATTTGCTAATTTAATTTGATTGACATTACATTTGACTACAGCACCGGTCCCATGCAATGCGGTATTACAACACAACTTGTAATACACTTAAGACAACCAATACTAGCTGTGTGTGCATCACCATCTGTGTATAATGACGAATATAGTCATCCATTGTACGACAGAATAGTTTTTAGGGAATAGCTGATAAAGTTCCAAAATAAACGGGTAAAAGCGACATCATTGTTCCCTTCATGTTTCTGTCTTTATTAAGGTTTTACGTTAGAAAAAAGTGGTGCTTCATGAATTTTTCAGCAGCTTTCATGTACGAGAAACGGCTACTTCGGTATTAAACTTTAGATTAAATGAAATGGCTTAAAAACTTACTTAACCGTCCTAGTACAAGAGACCTTTAACCTGGAAGTCCGCTGAGCTGTTTTAAGTAGCCTAATAAGAACAGAAAATACGAAAACAGGAACGAGTATCTAATAGTATCAGTAAAGCATGAAATATCATTCATTGGGCAATTCTGTGTACCTCTTATAGAATGTAATATGTTGTTTATCGGTTAAGATGGTGCCTGTCTTACGGCCATATGTTTGTGTGCTGTCGTCAGCATCAACATATCTATTCGTCATACATTCATAGCAGTCATACCTCTGACGGTCTAGCCCTTTTAGAAGCATTGTAGCAGTTAAAACACGTTCATCACTTTTTATATGCAGCTGCTTATTCCACCTCAATTTCGTATTTCTCATTTGTCTATTATGACCTCTCGAATTTCTTCATTCTCTCGGATTCTTACATTTAACTTTAGGCTATCCCCAAAATACAAAAGCATCATTTCGGCTAAATGAGTCTGTTGTTTTTACATGTCGTTGTTAACCTGGATCTTAACTGCCATTATAAGTTAACAATCACGAGAGTTGATATTTCGTACGTGTATAGATCTCTTCATCGTACTCTCTGGTTACTGTTTCCGTTCACACTTTTAAGTAAGATCTGTCGCTCTTGCCTGTTGTCATGTCGTTACTCCAGAACATTATTGTGATCACCCTACAGTAGTTTATTACTTCTTTAGCCTTTTGTGTGTGGAATACTATTAGGCTCTCGGTGCCAGCTTCTTTTTCGGTTATATTTATTCAGGAATGTAACAATTCTCATTTAAGCCGTTGAGCCAATTCAAAGATTTTGGTGAAAAACAAGAAATATTCAGTAGCATCCATTATTTCTGTTTTTCTCAGCAGCTTCAACTTCTTGATGAATTTTAAAGTTTTATATATTTTTGAAAAAATAATTAAAAATCTGATAGGTTTTTTTAATGGATTTATGTAAAAAGGCCATTGATGAAAGAGATCGATATTGGCAGGTAAATGTAAACTGGCCTAAAATTAACTACATTACTGGAAATAAGTTGTTTATATTGAACTGGGGCATTTGAATTTAAGATTTCTCGGGATTTGCAATAAATTGATCATTTATTTCAAAAACAATTTGATTCCCCGCTGCGGTCGTTCCGAAAATTGAGCAAAGTGAGCTTGATTCTTCTCTTAGGTGGTTCAAATGAAATGAAGATTAAGATTTATTTATTAGGTGACAATTCGGAATATACTTTATGAAGAACCAGTGCTTCCTATAAAAGCAAAATCGATTTGCCGAAATCATATATTTAAGCAGCACAACCGTAAAACCGTAAAACTCACACATCAACCTTCGTATCCCATCCCATAAAGGATTTCAGTTCCACAATATAAACATGTGCATTTTGCAGATCAACTACGTGATTTTACTTTTGAAGTTCGATAATTCCTCAAAACCCACTAGATTTAAGCGCTATTTACGATCACATGGTAACAGTTTTTCAACTAACGCAGGAAATGGCATCTGGATGCGCAAAAAGTTTTGCTTTAATTCTCATGTGCATCTCCTATTGATTTGAACCAACGACCTTAAAAACGTGAAGCAAATACGGCCTACATCCGTGGACTATTCCTATTAATGTGACTCACACAAATAAACCGGTAAAACTATACGTTGGTAACAGATTTTTCACGACTGCTCTACATGCCGAAATGAATAGGTCGACTGTGTCCAACGTCAAGTAGCATACTCGCTGTTTGGCTGTTGTATTGACAATCTTGTAAAACACAGTTCTGTGTAGATCTAATGGGCTAATGGTCCTGTTTAGTAGCCTGCTATCTTAACGTAGTTCACCACAGAAAACCCTTAGTTGTGATTTCTCCTTCCTCCGGAAGTGGGGTTGTTTGGATAATCTGAAATACGTTCTTAAAAGAAATTCATGCCTTTTCTTAACACATTCGTTGGTGTTATTCAAATAGCTCCCTCTGCCGTCTGATGGAACGCCTAACGGCAATACTGGACGTAAGAATCAAAACGTAGAAATAACTTTTTCTACCCGTTCGTACTTATATAGAAAATATATAATAGAATATTTCAAAGTGGTTATGGCAAAATGTCAAGGAATAAAATACGAAACCAATTAGAAATCACTTAGCTTGTGCATACATTTGGCTTTTATTACGTTGCATCAACATCTTGTTCTTTGTTGCATGTGTTCATATATATATATATATATATATATATATATATATATAGAGTGATGTATCCGATATTGGTCTTTATTTAGTTCGGCACTTTCATTCCTCGACCATCCTGCTCACATCACTCAACATAAAAGCATGACCAATGGTACTAGTCCGTCGTTCGTACAGGAATGGTTAAATAAATTATGATGAATGATTATAAATACAATGAGTCTGTTCGCTTTTAATGTACAGATGCGTTGTTACCATACTAACTGATTCACCATTATGCGGTAGCAATAATCAGCAACGTATTCCGTCGTTGCTTCTCGACACTTTACAAATGTACTTTTACCGTAATCGCAACCGAATTATAAATAGGTGATATATGAACACTAAATGTATTCAAAGCTGTCTGTCAAGTCAATCATGGACTCGTTATCGTTACAAGTAGATTCGACGAAGGTCTCCGGGTGACGTAATCATACTACATAACGGGCACAGTTTTTTACAGCTCTGAAATTTAGCAGAAGAGCACGGCGCATAAGATTTAGATGCTTTAGTAGAGTTTTAAGGTAGTTTCAGCTGGCGACGTAAAAAAAACGTCAACCCAAATTCATTACAGCGGTTACCTAGGGTTCAAAAGTACATTATGCTAATACTCACAAGTGTTTTAAGCCAACAATCCTGGCAATAGACATGCCAGCAGATGATGCTAACAAGTGGACTGGCAAATGGCTGTAAGCATACTAGGCATCGCGATCTTTCTGAAGTTGCCACCTTTTTCTCAAGTTCACGGATACGTTCCTTCAGACAGTCGATGACCAGCGACGACTTTGATAACCCATTACTGAAACAAATCATACCCCATAACATACAGTAGATGAAAAGATTTGGTTTAAAATCACGTAATTCTTCTTCAAGTTCATATCGTACCCATCTCTAATATTTATAGAAAATGCGTACGAAAATCAATAGCTTAGCGTGAAAACAGAGAAACTGCCTGGCAAATTCTAATGCTAAGTTAAACGACGTTCCACTGCAGTACGTATGATACCAAAAAGACGACTATATATTTCTTACAGTTTATTCCTATAAAACACGCACCTTTTCTTTACAAATGGTTTCCGTCCATCAAGAGACTCCGTCCTTTCTCCAGTTGAGTCTGCTTCTTCTCCTTCGTACGGTGATGAATCAAGTTGACTCGTCTTACTTAGGTCATCAATTGTGCCCCATTTTGACGGCAGCCCAGTGGGCGTTCCATCGTTAGCACCAGCCGTTCGCACCATTGCTTCCCGTATCAGCTGCGTGGAATTGTCGCTTGACGCTGTTGATAGCATCATAAGTAATAATACGTTTGACAAACCTCAAAGAAAATTGAGATGTAAACAACATTTTGGGGTAGCAGTCCACCAAACTAAATATAATAAGCTAAGCCTAGCGTGATAAAAACATTAAGAGGCATGTGTGTTGACAGCAGGGCTTAAGACACCAAACATTTTAAATGTTCCGGTCTTACTGACGTTATCTGTGCGCAAGGTGGTATTCGTCGAATAAAAATTTCGTTCACAGTTATCCATTGAGATCAGGATTTTTGGAAGAAAACTCACTTGGAATAAGGTCAGCTTCGGTAAATTGAGATTCCCCAAATATTGCCTCTTCGTCTCCGTCTACGTCAAGGTCTCCAATATCCTCTTCCTGACCAGTTCTATTCGATCTAAAAAATAACATAATCAACGGTTTATCGATTACAAGATCATTTATCGAAATTTCGACCCTGCTTAACCTTTTCACAATAGAAAAGACAATAATTTAGATAGAATGTTTATATTTATTATATTTGCCCCTTCTAATAATTCATTGACCCACCTTGGTATGATATTTGAAAGGGCGGCATGAGCCCTGACCCGGGTTTGGCCGGCCCATTCATATTCGTCAAACCCAGCTGACCCAACGTCAGTATCTGTACCTGCTTCACTCTCATCACTGGGGCCTTCAATGTCAACGTCCGCGGCGTCACCGTCCGCTCCGGTGGTCACCTCATTCTATAAAAATAGCCATTTCCACTAACAATTTAATAATTGGTAAATTTTTACAACTTTCACACTGGCGCAATAAATATGTATCACGTTTCATAAAAACGTGTGAAAGGCATTATTACAAAAAGAGGTTAGTTTGAAGAAAGTCAATTGTAAAAATTAGCCCATCAGAAACCAACTAATCTTATTATAACATTTACAATTGTATATGTTCATATATTACAGATCAATCAGCATGAACACTTGCCAGTTAAATTCCAAACGTGGTCTAAATCTAAACATGAATGACAAATTTTACAGAAGCGATGATACATGAGATGAATTAATAAACAATAGCATAATAATCACACTAACCGATTCAGCGAGGCACAAATCAACATGTCGAGTTCTTTCATCACCGTTATCCAAATGATCGAGGGGGGCATAGCACACAGGACAGTTAACACCTGGCGGATTAACGCCGGTCAGTCTACGTCGAAGATGAAACGGCCCAGTGCGCGCAGTTAGTCGGCTACTACGATTTTTTCGAACCTTTTTCCATTGTAATCGACGCTGTTCTCGGGTCTCCTGGGAGTTCAAATGTTGTCTCTGCAACACAATAGACCCAAGATAATGGCATATATTTAAGGTTCCAGCACTACGCTTGACACTTTTTGCCTCTACATGTCTAATTAATTTACTTAGTGTATGCTAGATTACTAGTCCACTCTCGTGTTAACCGACTTACATCACTGGCATTAGTCCCTGCTCGTCTGACAGAACGTGATGAGGCTACCTCATCCAGTCGATTCACCTCTGTTTCGAAATGGGCGGCAGCTTCAGACAGTCGAATGGTCACTCCACAAACCGGGCAACTTGTTGAGGCTGACCACTGAGGTTGAATGCGTCGGCTGCTACCTGGCATTCATTGACATAACAACAACAACACCAACAAGATTTTTCTCTCATATCGTTTTGCTTATAAATATAGACGGAAACCAAGGTTTTATCTTTTAAACCGCACTGCACGTCACCGGCACTGACTGGCTTTGGCATACGCTCTTTACGCCGTTTAGCATAGGTACCTCTTTTTGGCGGAGGTTCGTCCGGTTGATACGCCCCTTTAGACGTCCCCGGTCTTGCCGTCTCTTCCTCATCTTCGACAACCTACAATGATATTAATATTTTTTAAAATTATTTCTTATTTATTTCTATTTTTTACACGTGACAAATTATTGTCTTTGCACTGGAAATGTATTTATTGATAATGGGGCCCTATAGTAGACATTTGTATGTTCACTCATTAATGGCGTAGCATTATTTCCATAAAATACAGAATAGTTAAACAATTGTACCGGTAGCTTACAGCAACAATTTTAGTGTGCTGTATGCGCGCGACAAAGTGAAAAGAAGTTTTTGCAGCCTCCATCAATCTGTTGTTTATGGTGAGGAGAAATGTCAGTATTCTTTATGCTTTTGATCCGTTCAATATGACCAACTTTATTCAAGTGTACAAATGATATCGTGGTCTTGTTTATAATATGAAAACTTTCCTTTACAAATCTTCTCCTGAAAAACAACCCAGATTTTGTCAACAGGATTATCAGTGATCCTGAACTATGAGGACTAGCAGAAGCACTATTTTTTTTCGCTGTATACGTTTTCCTTCTTTACGGAACTCGCGTTGTAGACGCATTATGCTTACTAGTTTTCAGTTATTTCAATTGTTTGAACATAGCATGTGCCAGCCTAAAAATAAATGAACAAATATTATCTAGTATTGAGGCCAAAGCCGCTTCATTATTATGTCGGACCACTGGCCTCCAAAAGCATAAGACAAACGTGTCTAGCACAAAAATTCAATCAGAGGTTCTTATGTTCCTAAAAAAAGTAAAACGCAACTGAATAGTATGTACTAACTCTACCTAGAAAAAAAGCTTACTTACGGTCGTGGACTGAGCCAGTTTCCGTCGAGGCATTTCCCTCAACCACGAAACAATTTATTAATTACCCGGTGTATTGAGCTATTCACCCTCGTATTAGCATAGATATTTTTTTGGACGCATGTCAGCCTCTTGTGATTTAAGAAGATAAAAATTCGTACAACTTGTTTGTTTATTTTCAAATACGCTACATATGCGTTTAGCAATTTGGAAAAATGGAAGCGCTGACGCGGCAGTACATCGAAACTAGAGAATACGTTTCTATCCTACAGAACTAGTCAAAATTCTTATCATCTTATACACAGTACGACAAACAAACTGGTAAGCTGTGCTATCAGTTGGACGTTGCACCAACCAACTCACACTTAGAACTAGCTATGGAAACACTCTATCTGCCATCTTTCGAAGTTCCTCGACGTTCCTAAAACTCAATCGCGCAGGGTCGAAAGAAAGAGAATTTGGTGCAGAAGAAAAAAACTCAGTGAAACTCCTTGCTGCTTTTGATAGATCTATGCAATATAGCTAATAGTGCAGCACTGTGAAAGTTTACTAAAAGGTTACCAACATATAAACGCCTTCTTTCGTAACTATATCTTAGCTTTTAGACGCCTCAGTATATTTTATGTATCAGATCAGCATGTATTTACCAGAGTTAAGTTCTATTCGTGTTGGTTAGATTTTGTTGCTGTCGTCAAACTGACCGCGCGCGTACCTCGCTACCTTTCTTGACGCCTGGGCGCGTATCTCGAGGGTGCGACTTTAACAGTTGTTATTCAAGCGGTTTCGCGGCATTGTGCAAGTAATACTCGTAAACATTCGTTGACCCCTCTCCGTTCGCGCCGATTCCCTCACCTATCGTCTGCGGGTCCAGAAACTAAATAAAAGGTTGGACAGAAAGTTATTACCTTAACAGAAAGTCTAAGAAGGATGGCGCTTTGTCGTCTAGCTTGTCTCGTCCCCCGTGTGTTCGCCGCAGCTGGGCCAAATGGAACAAGGCCTTTGCTGGTATCGCTGGCGGGCAGGCCTATGTCCACAGATTCTGGCAGCTACGAATGTATCCTTTACGAGAAAATCGGCGAGAAAAAAAACGTTGGTCTGATTCGATTGAATCGACCAAAGGCGCTAAACGCGCTGAACTCACAGCTGATGGACGAGTTGGGCGATTGTATTGAAGACGTGAATAATGACGTGTCAGTCGGGTGCATGATCATCACTGGAAATGAGAAGAGTTTCGCTGCGGGAGCCGATATCAAGGAAATGGCGAACAAGACGTTTGCAGATTGCTACAAAAGCCAATTTCTCGAGTCTTGGGGTAAGGTAGCGAAATCACATAAGCCAATTATCGCTGCGGTGAACGGCTACGCGCTCGGTGGAGGCTGTGAGTTGGCAATGATGTGTGACATTATTTACGCCGGCGAAAAAGCGCGTTTCGGACAACCGGAAATTCTCTTAGGCACTATTCCTGGCGCAGGGGGTACCCAACGTTTGACTGCTGCCATCGGCAAGTCACGCTCCATGGAAATGTGTCTCTCGGGCAACCAAATTACAGCCCAAGAAGCTGAGAAATGGGGACTTGTCTCTAGAGTGTTTCCTGTTGATCAGGTAAGAACGACTTGAGTCCTTGTCAATATATGGCAGAGCAAATAGCTACTTTGGTTAGTTGGATTTAAGCAGTTAAAGAATGACAGATTCGTTTATACAAATCATGAACTTAGAAGAGATCAAAGCGTTGGGTTTTTTCAAAATTCAAAATAATCAGTCGAATTACTCTTAGTCGAATTAGAGAGCATCGCACGTATTGGCTGTTCCTGAAGTTTCATTAGATCAGTCTCATTTTCTATTTTGTTTCGCTCATTTAGACATTTACACTGTTGTTTTGCTTCGTAGCTCCTTCCGGAATCGATGAAATTGGCAGAGAAGATTGCCTCAAACTCGCAGATAAGTACGGCTATCTGCAAGGAAACAGTAAACCGATTCTTCGAGATGCCCTTACAAGAAGGATTGACGTTCGAGCGTAGGGCATTCCACTCCACGTTTGCACTTGAGGATCGCCGCGAAGGGATGAAAGCGTTTATTGAAAAACGCCCGGCTAATTTTAAGAACGTGTAATTACGGACATGTTTGTGCAGACGTCAAAGCCAGACATGTAAGCGCTGTTCCTTGGGACCATTTAATCTTGCCAAATAATGAATGAAAGAGGCCTGACGCACTGTTCTATCTCTAATATGAGATAGAAACTGGTAGTAACGACTCGCGGATAAATACATGGAATGGCTTGGCAACTTTTGCTCCATCATCGCTAACGCGCTGAGTATATAAGGTTCTTGTAGTGTTTATTGAGGTTTAAACTACAACGATGTATTTTAATAAAAACTACGATGTATTTTAATAAAAAAAAATGAAGAAAAAAGCTTCAATAGTTCTTACTGCAATTCTTAATATAAATTTCATGAGTTTACATTAATATGCTTAAGATTGCTTGCACGTGTCAAAGTGGCTCTTAGTAACTAGTAGGAAAGCGATGGGGAAGCGATAGGTAGCGATGGGTCAACGGAGTCCGCCTAAGCTGGCGTGGTATATGGAGGCGGGTGACCACAGCGTTAGGTCCTTTGAAGAGCAAAAATGGGATTGTTATTTTTGCATCTATTTCTAAGGCTGTTTTCTCTCTTTCTCATCTACTTCTAAAGCTGTTTTCTCTCTTTCTCTTAAGTAGAACGATGATAATAAATGGCCAATTTCTTTCGTGTTTTTGCCCACTAACAACATATTAAGCTTCCTTATTCTCTCCTATTCCGGTATTCTACAAGTAACTGACTTTCTCATCCCTTAACGCAAGTCTCTCAGTGTCATTGTTGCTTTAGCCATATTGCATTTAGTAGGTTTCCCGAAACCGCTTGCTTGGTCTCTATAAGCTGCAGGTGCCTTATACACCTACGCTCTTGGTTCATGGTCGTTGTCCAACGTACCGATCTCCTCTTTTTCATTGTCTAGTCGCCTGTTCGTAAATGTGTTCTCCATTTCAGTGCACATCGTTCTTCTGCTTTGGCGAACTTGCTGCATGTTTCAAGCAACGGTTACAGGGCCAGAGCCGTCCTTCAGATTAGTTTGAAGACGGCTGGTGCTCAAGCGCTGTACCAGACGGTAGTGCCAGTCTAAGTTGACGGGATTTCTACGCGAGTATCCTCTGCCGGGGCTTGACTTCGACGCCCTCTCCTCACCATCTTCATTCTGCGCTTTCGTTCCTTCTTATCGGACTTCCCGTTACAAAACCTATGGCTGTCTATCAAGGCTCAACTCCGGTTTTATTCCCTACAACAACACCTGAGCCACCTTTGTGTAGTAACTGGTGCTGTTGGGAAATGTAGTGGGAAAGTGGGAATCTGCATCAGCAGCGTCAGCAGTGGTAGCACTGCAAGGCGGACGATCATGAAGATAAATACTCACCTGCAGCCCAGAACATTGTTCTTGTCATTTTAGCTTGTTCCCTTTCTTTCTCTCTTTCTCTTTGTGTTTTCTTCTGCGGGAAGAGTTTCGAAAATTTAAAAACTGCGCAGGAATATGCCCATAAAATGAACACAACAGCATTGGCCCCCTTCACCTCCATAATGATGTGTTACAAGTCGTTGTATTTAGATGCGACCACGTAGCGTAGGATGTTGCTTAAGACCTCACTGGGTAGCTCATCTATGGGCGCTCGTGTTAGAGCGTTTTTTTCTTCATTATTATGGGTCTATAATTGATTACAGAGGGGGCGAATGCCGGGAAAAAACTACCTCAACCTTAATGCTTATCGACAACATTGCTGAACTACCCGAGGATTCGTTTCTAATGAAGCGAGAAGTAGAAGTGTTCGTTGAGTAGGAACTACATGATAGGAATGATAATGATCAAAGTAATAATAATATAAAATTACGATGTAAAATATAGATTAGTGTAAGATGAGCCGTTATTAGGAGAGAATGCCTAACAGCCCTTGTTATTATTTCGTAGCGTATAATTTCTTTTACAATAACGATAACATCGAGGTCTTGACATGCATCTTAATCTGTTGATAAGGACTACAGTGATTAACTTTCACTGGAGATAAAGATGCGTACGAGGAGCGATTGCTGCCTTAAACAATTTAAAACTAGTTTGCTTTTCTTCTACTCTTTCTTATAAACCTATAAATAGAAAGATAAAAGTTATCTTTTTATTTATAGGTTTATAAAAAATAAAAGTTATTTTTTTATCAAAGTAACAATCCGGTTCTACATAGGAACTCGTTAATTGTTCAGGAACATGTAATCACTCTAATTAATAATCTGTATGCGTTTACGGCCTAACCAATTCACGTATTGTGAGTTTGAATTTTGCTCAAGGTATATATGTCTTTTGTTTGATTTTAAACTCACGGAGGATTCACGGATCTAACGAACTTTCCTTTGAGTTCCGGAAATAGAGCTAACGTGTGAAAAAAGAATGTGTTCATATTGCATCACTGCTAGTACTACAACATCATCTTTTTGCCGGACTCGTGCGCAATAATAATCTAATTAAGGCATCTTTATTAAACACAATCTTAGTATCTTTTGGCAGTACTTGCTGTTAGACAAACTAAAAAAACTTCATTGTAGGGCTCTAAATTTTAGGTTCTATGGACAAAAGAAACAGAATACAACTAAATCTAGTTAATAGGACAGGCACATGACATTCCGCTTTTAGCACTGGACGTATGCTGTCCAGTCTCGCCTAGCTTCATGTCCTTTTTAATCTTGGACTGGAAATTTGTATGGTCCTAAGGGACAAGTCACTGAAAAGTGTTTGTAAGCAGGCCTTACTCTAGCTGCGGTCGAATTGTTTTACAACTGCAAAGAGTATTGCGTTCGCGTTGGTACTCTTAAGTCGGTGGAACTGAGTAGAATGTAGACTTTGGCTACGCTAGATGTGTGTTTTGGATGCTGATTTTTGCTCACTGCTCAGGTGGCCTCTATTGATAAGGCTGTGAAATCGAGGATCTGTAGCTAGCAGATACAAAAAAAGTGGACATCAAGTATCTGTACAGATCTGATCTCTGCAGACACCTCAACCAAGCCATTATTAAATCCGAGCAACAAATCGACGAGAGATTTGAGGATTATTGTGTTGTGTTTTATCAGTGTCACTATTGAAATGGTTTCGATAGTTGTGAAGATGGAACCCACAAAGTCAAATTTGAAGTTGGGAGAGTAAAAAACTAGCGTAAAGCTCAAA